AATCTGGTATTTAGCTTAAAGCTTCTGAATTTCTACTATTACTTTCTTAAGTATTACTAATTACTATAATATAATTAGTAATAAGGTATTATATTTAGTTATTTAGAGTAAAGTACTATAAACTAAGAGAATTAGAATAATGCCGTCGGGTCTAGCAGAATTATTAATGGCCTTAAAAGCTATTTAAAGTATAATATTCTTATTAATTCTATTAATTTTAGCTATAATAATAAAGTAAGTATATTAAATTAAGTTATAGTAGTATTCTATAATTCCGACGGAACTATAAGCTTCTATAAGAATAATTTTAACCTTGGTTCCTATAGTATTTATAAGCTAAGTAAACTTCTTACTAGTAAACTACTTTCTAGTATTTACTATAATCTAATTAGAAGGGCCTAAATAAGTATTAATCTAATATTACTTTAGTATATCCTAAGTATATAATATACTAATATTTTAAAGCTATTAGCCGGCTTAATATCTAGTGCCTTTATTAATAATATAAAGTATAGGCTTACTAGAAATATAGAAAATATTAATAATAATAGAGTAATTAAAGCTAATATTATTTCTTAGATTAAACTTAAATTATCTTGGTAATTATCCGAATTTCTAGTATTACTTATAGTACTTTATAAGGTATTTAAGGGCTCTTATATTAATATTATAGCCTGCTTATTCTAGTATATTTCGAAGCTTACTAATAAATAAATAACTAAAACGGCGGTATAAATATTATAATTCGACCTCTATAAGAAAGCAGGAGTTATAAGTAAAGAATTCAGAAATAAAGCTTTATAAAATAGTATTCTAAAGTAAGAAAGAATATTTAAAACATTATACTATAAGTATAAAGTATCTATTAGAAGTAATAAGATAATTAGTAAGATTATTAAAGTAAACTCCTAGCTTATCTATATTAGCTAAACTAAGTAGAAATAAAGTCTTTATAGGTATAATATGGAATTATACTTATCTAATTAGTATTCTTATTATTATAGATCTAATAGAAAATATAGATCTAATACTAAACTAAATATTAACTTAACCTTTAGTGGTTTTATTAAGTTTAATACTACTATTAGTCTACTATAAAGCTTGGAATTAGTTAGAACTAGTAATTAAGAATCTAGAAGCTCTAGTATTAATTATAATTCTATAAAAGTAATAAGTATTATATCTTAATATACTATTAATTATAAATATCTGGGCGTCTTTTATTTATTTAATAGATTTTAAGATATGGTTTTTGCCTATTATCTAGTATATAAAGGAAAGAGAAGTAAGGTTATTTATAAGAATATTAGTTATGGAAATAGTAGAAATAGGAGCTATAGGAGTAGCTAGAAAGCTTTTAATAGAAGTAAAGTAGGAATTAGAGTAATATTTCTTTCTTTTATTCGTTTCTACTAATAAGGCTTTAAAAGTATTACCTACTAGTTTGTCTTTATTATTCTCATTATCCTCTTTTTCTTTAAATTCAGTAATATACTATATATAAGTATTACTAAAGCATTTATTAAAGTTATAGATATTTCGGGATCTAAATTAGTAAATATTTCTATTTTTGAATTAAGCTTTCTTAGCCTCTTATTTCTCTAATATATATTTCTATAAGTAGTATTCGGGTTTCTTATATATAAAATACAACTTCGGAGCGTAATTATTATAGTTATAGGGCTTGAAATAGTTATTACAGGTTCTAAAGTTATAACTAGGTCTATATTAACGATTTCCGAACAAATAGTAGTTTAGAGAATTTTGAGAATAGTATTATTAATTAGTAAAAAGAATCTCGATATTAATTTATTATTTCTTCTTATAAGTAATAATAGATAATTAGAGCTTATTAATAAGTTAGCCGAGATTAGGAGAAGAATCTAAGACTATATATTAGTATACTAGTATACCTTAATAAGAAATAATAATTTTATTATATAGGAATTCGGTATTTTATAAGACAGGTACTAATCTATATTACAATTTATATAGGTTATTAATTAGTAACTAGACGAGCTTAAACGTTGTTTTTTTAGGGTATTAAGCTATTATAGTTACTATTATAATAGTATTTTACTTATCTAAATTTCGATATTAGAAACCAGGGCCTTTAAAGAAGCTATAAATATTTATATAAGCTTCTTTATATATATATTAAAAGAGCTAGTTATTATAAAAGTAATCTTATACTAGTTCTTTTAATATAGTAGAAAAAGCTCTTACTAATGCCTCTTATAGAAGCTCTATATATTAGTAGATATTAAGGAAAATAGCAAGTTTTTAGTCGAAACTACTATTAGTTCTATTATATTTCTATATCTTAGTATATATCTTTATTACTTCTCTAATTAGCTTTATAGTAAAAGGGCTAGCTAAAGGGCTATTTAAAAGTAGTAGAGATAGTAAAAGTAATAGAAATTCGTTATTACTAGCTCTCTATAGTCCGGTACTAATAGGAGCAATTATAGGTAATAAAGAAGTATAAATAATAATTGGTTTAGTTTATTAATTTCTTATAATACTATTATTAAGAAATATATATAATAAGGTAATAGGGCCCGTATTAAGGTCTAGTCTAGTAGTAATAATATTAGCTATAGTTTAGGTATATTACTCTTTTTCCTAAATAGTATTAACTAAGAATTATATAATAGTAAGTCCCTTATTATTTTATTTAATATAAATACTACTATATTATAAAGTAGCTCGTAATTTATATAATATATATTAATCTAGATAATTAAGTACTTTAAGGTCGAAATTATTAAAACCCTTTTTAAATAATTTCCAGAGATTATTATTAGTTGACTTCTTTACCTTATACTAGAATAATTTAGTATTAAGGTAATCTAGAACTTCTTTATTATTACAGGTAATTAGATTAATATTACTTTTCTATTTCTTTACCTATATATATTTATCCTATAGTTCCGCTATACTAAACCCTTAGAATTAAGCCTTTCTTAATATATATATAATTCATAATAAGAAAGGTTTAAAAATAAGATAGTTTATAATAAGTTTATAGAAAGAATTTGGTAGTAAAGGTATCCAGATACCTGATTTAGATACCAGATACCCCAGATATCTAGAAGTATTATAGATATTAAAGTAAATATTTTACCCTTAAATATTTTATCTATAATAAGAAATTTAGGAAGTGAAATATTATAATTCCGGGAGAGTCTAAAGCTTAAAGAACTCAATTTAATAGTAAAATCAAAGTAGTAGTTAAAGAGCTTTAAGGATATATATAGAGTATATATTTCGGAGAAAGTATTCCGTAAATACGGGTATTATATAAGTAGAAAAGATAGATTCCAAGAAAATAGTCTTAGAGCTAAAAGAAGTTAGTTTTAAAAAATAATAAATAATTAAATAGATAAATAGCCAAATGGCTAACTACTTATTAATTAGTAAGAACTAGAGTCTTTTTTTTTAGGCTACCGGATACTTTATAGAATTAATAAGTAATTCCCCTCTTTAATAAAGTAATTATTGGTTTTTAGTAAAAGCTAGCTATTTTCTCTCTTAAGCTACTAGATGCTTTATAGAGTTAATAAGTAATTCCTTTCTTTAATATAGACTAGTTTAATTTTACTATAGGCTACCGGATACTTCTTTAGCTTAAAAGATTTTATTCTCTAATCTATATATATAAACTAATTAATATTAGTTTACTAGTAATATATAGTACTATTATATAAGTTATAAAATACTATTTATATATAGTTAGTAAAGTTATTATTATTTAGAAATAGGGATTATAGTATTATAGTATTAATATATAATTCCTAAATCTACTAAGCCTAAAGGGGTCTAGTCTACTAGTCGAGTTACTAATGGGATATAAGGTTATATAACCATATCCTATATCCTATATCCTATTACTTATATTCTATTATTTATATCCCGTATCCCGTATCCCGTAACTATATATATAACTCCTAAAGAAATAGCTATACTAATACTAATATTATAATTATATATTTTTTAATTTATAATAAAAAGATTTCTTAAAATAGAATTTTAATTTAAAGAAAGTTATTTATTAATTAATTAAATACTATTTTCTAAATTCCTATAAATTCCTATTTTATAAGAACTTATAGGATTCTTATATTTGGTTTTAGGAATTTATTTACTAAATTTCTAGGCTTTTTTAAGCTTATTTTTAGGCTATAAAATATGAATTTTTAATTTCTTTAATTTAAAAAGCTATTATTAATTTAAAGTCTATATAAAATTTATATTTAAATAATATTTAATTAGTATTATAATAAAATAAACAAGTATTAAATTATATTAATTCTTTATAAAATTGAATTAAATTATAAAAATAGTTAAAGTTTTAGTATTTCTATTTAAATACCTATATTTTAGATTAGTTTAATCTCTAATTAATATTTGAAAAAGGGGAATTATTTTATATTTTCCTAAAAAAATATTATAAATAATATTATATATATTATATTTAATTTTTTTCTTACTTTTTTCTTTTTATATAATAAATTACTTATAATATAAGATATTTATAAGCTCGTAAATAGCTTATATACTTTTCTAATTATTCTCTTTAATTTAGATTAATTAGAATTCTTTTAATAAGAATTCTTTTATTAATAAAATTTTAAAGTTCTTTTTTTTAATATTATTTTTTTATTTAAAAATTTGAGGCTATTTTTAAAGTTCTTAAAATCTTTAAAGATAACTTTTATAATTTTTAATTCTTTAAAAATATTTAAATTCTTATATATATATTAATTATAATTTATATAATTATAAGAATAATATAAGCTTTAATAAGCTTAATAAATAAAAGAAAGATTTTTAGAAAAACCCTAATAAGATTTAAGTAAAGCAGCTATAATAGCTGCAAAACGGCCGTAATAGCTTATATACTCTCAAGACTTATATATTTAAAAGGCTTATATATTCTTATATTTTCTTTTCTTTATTTAATAAAATATTAAATTTAATTATATATATAGGAATTTCTAAAAAGAGCCTATATAAAATTTATTAAGAATTTGATAGAGCATTAAATGGATTAATAGGAATTTATATAATTACTTTATTTAAAAATCTCAAAAGCTAAGTGCAATATACGAATGCGTAATATACAAATATGCAAATGCGTAATGTTATGAAAAATCTGGGTTTTGGCAGTACAGGGGTTGGAGGCCTCGGTATAAGGTTGGACTATTGCCTACACTGCACATAGAGGACGTTCCAGCAAAACTTCCACCCAAAAACTATTACAAACTAGAGATCAACTTTAGCCTCCACCTCCTCGCCATCCAACCCACCCCCCCCTTCACCCCACAACCCACCACCCAAGCCCCTCTTCCGCTCTCTCCCCCACTCACCCCCATGACCTCTTACCAATGCATTTCCCACCCTCTTCCCCCCAGCCCCACCACTATACTCATACTTAACCAACAAATATACATCCTCCACGCCGCCACACGTACCGACATCTTTCGGGAAGACAAAACTTCCAAACTGGCCTTCCCGCTGATATCCCAGACTCATCCTTGGCACGTTAAACTTAAGATCCAACATCCCGCGATACAAGCCCGGATACTCCTTTTGCATCACACAATCAAACTCCACATGCTGCTCCGCATCCCGCTTATACCCAATCCTAGGATGAATCTCCGAATGCCGATACAGAACCCGCATGTACTCGCCCACACCTGCATGTTCCGGGGCCCTGATAAGCACCTGCACCCTCACGATACAAATTTCCCTCTGCCCATTCAAGAACGGAAACATATTGCGATTAAACTGCAGCTGCAGCACCGATTCCCCTCCTTTCCCACCATGCTTCTGCTTCTTCCGAAGAGTCTGATGCAACAAATTCCACGCATCAGGAAACTGATACTTGACATCGAAGAAACTCCATCCATTACCAGGCAAACGCCGTTGTGCCGCCTCGTTGGCCGCAACACGGAGGTCCTCCCCGCCATCGCGCGACGTGTAGTTAAGCGTCATAACGACATCCGTCAATGTACCGAGGTTGAACTGATTGTTCTGCGCGGGCAACTCGATGCGCCAGCGACTAACCGCGCCCGAGAACTCGAAGGGCAGGTAGCGCGCATCGTTGAAGTTGATTTCGAAGAGGCCGGTGTCGGATTGGCCGGTCGACGTGGCGATGCTTTCGTAGGCGCCGAATTGCTGCACGAAGCGAGCGTCGGACGGGGATTGGATGTCGTAGGCGCAATCTTTGCCGGTGCAGTCCGGACTGCACTTTTTGGTGGAGAGGGGAAGGGAAGGGTGCACGCGGATCCGGCTGGAGAGCAGTTCGAGACGGCAGTGGATGCCGGTGTAGGGCCCGATGACGCAGGGGATCGTGAGGCTCACATTGCGGATGCGCCGCATGTATTGGCCTGGGTAGTCGAGATCGAACATCCATTCTGGGATATCGATCTCGCATTTCCCAGTCGTTTTCAAGAGCAGGAAGGCCGCTGGGAATTGCATGTTTAGCGAGATCTGCTTGGCGACTTCTTGCTCGCGGTAGTTCTTTTCCATGTATGCGCGCTCCATGGTGTGGAGGGCTAGCTCGAGGCGTTCACCGGCTAGGAGACCTTCTTGGAGATTGCTCCAGGTGGAGAGAGGGACGAAATCCCGGTAGCTGTCGTGGCGTTCGTAGTAGAACATTTGCTGGGCCTCGAGCGATGCTTTGATGGCAAGATCGTATGCTTGTCGGTACAGAATTGCAGTCTCTTGCTGCAGAAAGATGTAGAGATCGAGACTGGCCGTCTTATCTCGCATGAAATCCTGTACTTCGGCCGAATGTTCGATCTGCCGCTGGGTGATGTTGAGATCACGTTGCGAAATCGCTTTCCGGCGGTCGGCAGCAAGCTTCTGCTGTTCCAGCTGCCGGATTTCCAGCGTGATCGTGTCGACCTGGTTATTCCACTCCTCTAACCGTCGATCCCAGCCGGATTCTACGAAGCAGAGATTCGCTGTAGTATTTGCCATTTCAGAGACGCCAGAGAGGATGTTTGCAGCGGTGTTGAACTCGGAAGACAGCGAGGAGCCGCCAGTGATACGTGAAAACACCAAAGGGCCTGCAATCCCAGCATCACCAGTGAACTCATCGGGGATGAGAGTCAAGGCCTCTGCGACAGCCAAAGATACACCAGATGCCGTCTTCAGCGCCAGCGCCAGAGCTGTGGACGCTGTAAATCCATTTTCGTTGGCGATCGGTCCGTTGTGGATGAGGTTTTGGTAATATGTAAAGCGGGTCAGCGCTCCACTCAGAGCGGTTTGCAGGCTCTGCATATCCCAGTCACTCTCTCTGAACTGGTTCTTTTTCATCTCAAGGGATAAGGTTGTGATTTGTTGTTCGTGGGTGCTTTGAAGCGAGGCTAGGTATTCCGCATCTCCCTTTTCAAACGCTTGCAATAGATCACCTCCCAGAGTCCGCACATAGCCAGCAAGGTCAAGGGCTCTCGGTAGCAATGACAGAAATCGGTATGGGTGTCGCTTGTACGGAGAATGGTTGATCTGATATTTGTCGAAGGAAATCTCAGTCCCAGAAGGGTTCCCGCTGCTGTTGTAGGAAAGTTGAGAGCGAGCATCTGCAAGACGATCATAGACCTCAATCAACCGCGGGTTGATGGCTGATGCTGACGAAACGAATGAATCTAGTGTGATGTTTAATGATCCTGTTTCTTGTATCGAAAACCTTTTGGGACGGGGTCCGAGGATCCTCTCCATCATGTCGAAGATTAATGCAGCCCGTTGATTTGACGCAGAAGAAGACTCTTGAGCGAGGCTGTTCGCCCACTGGAGTAAAGTCTCAAGATAGTCCAGTATGACAGCACGAGCTTTCACCTTTTTCGGAGGTATGTCTTTTACACTGGAGCTGGATGTCTCCCAGGTGTTGTCCCGACGCAAAGGGTTAAAAGCCATCTCATACCACTTCAGACATGCTTCGAACTGACCCTGAGATCTTAGATGACCTGCGACAGCGAGACACGTACTGAAATTTGACGCAGGTATCAGCGGAGCACCCGCATCGAAATAGATGAAAAAAGGGTAGGCCTTCAGTGGACTTGGGAAAGATGATGTGTCCGTAACTGGGTTTATGGCTCCAGCTAGGAGGGAAACAGCAGTATCAGTTGGTATATCGTAGCGGAAAGAGTCTGCCCCACCGACAACACTGAAGGCGAGCGAATCACCAGTGCGTCCCGTGAATGTGAGCTGGGGCGTTGAGCTTAGCCCTGGTGAGTGGAAACCCTCGTAAGATCGACGTGGGGGCTCGAAAGACCCAAAATGCACTCGGCACCAGTTCAAATGAACCATAGATTCCGGGTTCCAGGTAAGCAACGCCTGCAAAGAAGGCTCAGTAGATGCGCGGTTGAAACCAGGATCCCACAAGTTTGCAGGAGCAGGAGGGCGAGCTCCATAGCCAGCGTTCTGGTACACAGCATCGCCATTGAACCAGCTAGCCGGCGTGATCCAAAAGTAAAATTCGTCCACAGTCAATGGAGTCTCGCGCTCGGCTGGGCCGTTTGGAACTTGGCTGTACAATTCAAGTGGTGGTGTTGACGCAGCTGCTAGTCGGACGAATTGGATGCCCATCTTGATAGCAGCGTTCATCCACAGCGGAATCTGGCTTTGCCCAACCTCGGGTGTGATGGAGGGAGCTACCGGGACCGAGGAGAGAAGCGATTTGCGTGCACCGTGGCTTGGCAATGCAAGGAGATTGACACCATCGATGGCGGTATCAGCTGGACTAAGCTCAAGTGACGGAAGTTCCAAGTTTTGCAGCTCCGTGGTAATCCTCGAGCTCGGCACATGTGCAGCTGGCCAAGACATGTGCCCTCCAGGTTTGGGAATGGTCAGGACATTTCGTCTCAGCTCATTTGTCAACAGCCGAAATCCTTCGGACTTTTCTGCTTTATGTAACTCATCCCACTGAATCCAGTTTTCTTGGTATATCTGTCTACGCTTCTGGGCCTCCCAGACTTTGGAAGTCTTGAACTTGGTGTCCCATAGCTCCTTGAACTCAGGATTCGGCTGAATTTCTGGCTCAAGACCGAGTCGGATTCTGGATACCAAGCGGTGAATCGAATCCAGGGCATCGTCGACCCTCGTAGTCCGCTCGTGAACTCCGGCTTCGACGTTGAGAAGCAGGAGATCCGTCAAGTCTAGAGGTGAACTTGCAAACGCGCCTTTGTTGAAAGGGAGCGGTACCCGATTCTTGTCACACAGATACGCAAGCAAAGCTGCTCGAGCACGTACACGCAAGGAGTCATATACGCTCCGAATCTCATCCAGGTTGCCTAACCCAGAAAAGGTTTCTTGGAAGAAAGATCTAAGATTCTGATTTCCGGATTCGGCTCCAATCGCGAGGTTAGGATCTTCAGCTGACCACAGCCAAGGCTCAGCCTTCTCGAGATACTTGCTGAACACACGTTTCTTGAGACGATGCACCCAAAGACCAGCAAACCAGCAGCGGATGGCCCATTGCTCGTTACTGAGGTCGGCAGTCATGATGCTGTAGCTTCCATGCCCGTCGAAATACTTCTCGATCAAGGGAGCAAGACTGACATCGGTGACCAGGTACCGGAGAAGTTGTCCTGGTTGAGGGATCTGTTCTGTCGCCTCATTGAACAGCATCCAGCATTGGCGACTTCTCTGCCTCTGCACCCAGTGACGAAGCTTGGAGTAGTCGAAAATGCGCTCCCACCAATCAAACAGTGCCGCCTTGCGTTGTGGGGTAGGTTGAGCTCTTTGGTCTGGATCTTTCTCAGCTGTGTCATAGTTGTCCATGACCGGAAGAAGATTGAAGTCGAAATAGGCACGATTAACCATAATTGTAGAGCTCGAAGCAGACCCCCGATAGTAGGAGGTACCAAGAAAGCTTTGAGGGTGGTCGAGGAAGTAGTCCAGTTCAGATTCGCGTAAGTGGTCGTGATGGTTGAGTTCCGCCGATAAGTCGAAGCGAGATGTGAAAAGAAGACCTTTGAATGCTCGTTGGTAAGTTCGACGGATATCACGAACGCTGCTAGTGTAGTGTTGATTCAAGAAAGTCGCTGCTGACACGGGGAGATTCAATCCCTCGCCCAGCGTGCCAATTTTGGACTCGCGGAACAACTTGGAGGCAGGGACGACAGATAAGCAGTCTTTAGTATCAGGACCAGCATATTTCACCTGAAAACCCGTCTTCTCTGGATGAAGATTGCTGAAATCCGGTGGAGTCTTCTCGAGGTAGATTTCGATGTGGTACACTCCGCGGTGGAGCAGCAGTGGCGCTGACTCACTGGTGGGGGCTGGTTGACTTTCCCAGTGGTGATTCAGGGCTGTCCATGACTTGTCGCCTCGTTGAAGAGTTAACAGCCAATGATGGCGTTCCCGAATAGCTTCGAAATCTGGCTTTTCATCGTCAGGTCTGGGATGTCCAGCAAAAAAGATGTATTCCCCGCTGTCCTCCACCAGTAAGGATCCGCTCCAGTAGACCCTGAAGCATTGGCCACCTCCCAGTGCTTCTTCGTTTGATTCACGCACCGCAAACCCATTCACTGCATTCACTGCATCAGTGTGCTGACGTTCCAACTTGAGATCAGGATTAGGGATGATAGTAGGGAGAGGTGTGTTGAATTTGTCCTCATGGTGTCCAAAGAAAGTCAAATCTCTCGTGACAGTGCGCCAGACCTTGATAGGACCAGCCTCTCCATCAACCTCGAATTCGCCGAGTAGTCCAGTTCCAGTCAGACCAAGTATGGCTGCGAAGGCACTGCCGGAAAGGTGAGGTTCCCATGTGTACTGAGCTGGAGAGGCACCTGATTCAGATTCCCAGCCCCCTCCAACTGGTGAATTCTCATCAGCGAAGAGACGGCGCAGGATGGACCAAGCCGCTGATCGTGTGCTGTGTTTGTCGTGCTTCGTAGCCTCCGATACATGATCTGAGAGGTGACCCGCAATAATTTCACAGCGACGGTGAAAGAGCGCAAAGTGGCGTTGGAAATATCTGAAACGCTGGTGTTCAGAAGGTGCTTCAATGAGCTCGCGCACAGCGCGTTCGAAATCGGGGAAGATGAGAGCAAAGGGTGCAAGGACTGCTCTTGGGGCGAAGTAAAGATTCTGGAAAGCTTGGATCTCTGTATCTGAAAGCTGCCGAGATTTCATCAGCTTTTGAATGACCGCTTCTTGTGGTAGAGGCAGTTTGAACCATAGTTGGCCAGTCCCTTCGGCGTCATAGCGGAAAGGGGTGTTGGGATCAGAATTCCACAATGAGGGTGTTGTGGCAGAGGCGGAAAGGTCTATCTTGAAGATGGAGGAATCATGGTTGACTCGTTGCCCACAGTCCTCGAGAGCCTGAGCAAAGAAGCGTTCGCCAAGAGATGTAAGAGGATCATTTTCCGTGGAGGGTACATATCCAAGATCATGGAGTGAACTGGCAATCTTCTTCCAGCTCCACTCCAAGACAGCATCGTCGCTCACTTCGACATGCATGAGACGCTTCCGTAATTTCCACAGGCTGAATTCGTCGTCCGGATACTTAAGTGGGTCGACAGCAGCTTCCAAAATATTCGGTAATGTGAATGGATCATCCCACCGGATATGTTCATCCGTCGTAAAAAGAAGACTTATTTCGCCCAAAGTGAAGCGAGATGCATACACCTTGGAGACAATTTCGGCAAATCGCAGGGTGCTAGTTGGCTTGGCATACCAGGGGTCCGTTTCACTGAATCCTGCTAATGAAGAGATGATATTGAGGTTCTTCTCCAACTCCTTTCGAAACCCTAATGCCCGGTGGCTCCCGCCAAATTGGGACCTCGAATATGTTTCAATGTGGTCCAGAAGAAGAGCGATTGCACCATTCCGAGGAGAGGGGTTTTCTTTCGAACCTTGCCATAAACTGAGCAAGGAAGCGCTGATTTCTTGGGAAATCTGTCCGTAAGAAGCGGGTGAGGTGGGTGTTCGAAAAGGAACCCCAACGGAAGAGATAGAACTAGGTGTCTGTGGTAGTTGTCCGTGGGAAGATATTGAAGGAGTTGGCTGTGTCAAGGTGATACCGAAATGGTCTCGTAGCATGATTAGGGCCGCCAGCTGCCGTACGAAGTCGCTATTGATAGAACTGCCCTCGAACAGTGAGAGGGTTGTCGATATCTCAGCAAGTTCACTGAAAGAGATTGCTGGACCATCGACATGACTCAATATTTTCCAGAGACGGATAAACACGAAGAGCTTCCGAAGGCTCAATAAGGGATGTTCTGTTGAGTTCAGTGCTATCTGAAGTTCGCCGGTGTTATATGGCTCAGAAGAAGGGAATCCAATGTTGTTGCTAGTTCCGCTTTGTGATAATGCACGTGAGAACTGCACATACTTGCATTTCCAAAGTTCGATGAAATCATCATATTTTAGTCCAGTCGACTTTAAGAACCAAGAGAAAGATACCGTTGGTGGCGTTGGGAGCGCAGTATCGAGTTGGAGGATAGACTCCAGGAAGTCTTTGTCCCCAAGTGAACCGCTGAACAAGTTTGAATACTCGTCTGAGGAGATATGGAGATATTCCAGAGCAATATCAAAACGTACTGGATAACGCCAAAGACTTTTCTGGAAGCCTTCCGGTTCTTTTTTTGCGTCAATTGCAAGTTCAGTGACATTTTTGTGGAAATGACGCATAACCTCAAATCGATCTGTTCCTAAAGGAGAAAGCAAAGAACGAGAGACATCCAGTGACCGGTCATATGGCAAGTCTAGAGCCGTGAAGCAAGATTTCAAGGTTTTGTAGACCTGTGGGCTCTCAGAAATCGCGGGTGATGAATGTTGAGGTATAGTAGCAAATGAGGAGGGCTGGTCACCGTCCGATGACTCGGTTTCGGGATTGGAATTGAGAAAGATCCCCTGAGATTGACCTGGGTTGCTTCCTAATGCCTCAAGGTTCTCATTGATGATATCCAGCTTAGAGATTCGAGACTCTAGATTCAGAAGACTTGCTTGCATTTTCCCGATAGAGGCTCTCCGGGCAGACAGAAGATCGGCGACCTTGGCCTCCCCAATCGAGGCGTTGAGAATGTCGAAAAGGTAAGAGATTGGTCCGAGAGGAGAGAGATTATATGGCGGAGTGCAGTCGATCAGAGTTCCACCGCCGTTGACTGGAGCAAAAGTCCAAGCAGGCTCATCAGTGGGTGCTGTTACGTGCTGCTGCTGGCTCGTAAAGGCCGTGAAAATGTCTTTAGCGTAGGGATATGCAACGGATCCTACAAGAGCAGATTCGAATTCTGTTTCGGAGAGTGGATGCACTGCGCTTGCACTAGTGAAGCCACGAGCGTAGAGAGCTTCTATGACGGAGAACTGCAAATTTGATGGACAAGATGAGGTGACCTGCACCAACAAAACCACTGTCTCAAGTGCATTCAGTAGCCATGACTGAGCACCGAAGTTATCTGGGAGTATGGCCTTTACGGTTTTTTCGACAGCGTCATGGTCGAGAGGGTTGCCAAAAGAGAAAGTCCCAGGATATTGACTGCTGAATTGCTTCAGAATATCATCCGAGGGTACCGAGAAGGTGCTTGTGTGGCCGCCGGCTGCCACTGTGAAAGAAATCTCCTTTGGTTGTACAATGAAGTACTTTTGGACTCGTTGTACGAAAGCGTCGGCGCGTTGGAGTGTCGTTCCAGGCAATGTGAAAGTAGGGAGAAGGTTCTGATTCGAAGGCACCTGGGTAAAAAAGTTCTCCCACTGCTGCTGTGTAATCTTGACAAGGTCCTGAACACTATTAACTGGTATCTGGGCTTCTATTGCCGCTACAAGCGCACATTCCCCTTGAGTGATTGCTTGCAACACCAGTGTTACGTACCCCTTGGGGTATTTCTGAATGCTTGGTCCCCAAAAGCTAGATGTGATATTAGAGGTCAACCCTTCATACTGGAGCCAATCCAAGTAGATATTTGGAGCAGATGTTGGAGCGCTGTTGGTCAGAGTTGATATATCACATGACGATCCAATGGATGGAGAGCCCAGCGCAGTCAAGCGACGCGCAGCTTGGTACATGTTGATGCTCAAAGTTGTAGTAGAACTGCCATTCGATGAGTTTACAGCCACGGCACTTTCTGTATCTCCGAGTAAGCCACTGTCCGATGCGGCCTGGAACAGAGTTGTGAGTTGATCCTCGCTAGCCATTATTGCCGAGTTGTAACGTTGTTGAATAGACACCGACTGAGGAAAGGTAGAACCTAGGGAGTAGAAAAAGGGAGCAGGGACGTTGAATAAAGGAAGTGGGTTCAAGGAGGCGTCAGGGGATGTTGCTGGATTTTGAAGTACCACGGAAGCTTGAGGGTAGCTCGCCGATGGCTGCCCAGTTTCAACTGGGAAAGTAATTCCGGCCAAGGTCGCTGTCGGAGGGATTCCTGTGAGAGTTTCCCCGTTGGTGAGTCTCTCGCAAAATACTGCGGCTGATGCAGCTGCAATGTACTTTGAGAGTGTCGATGCTTCAGCATTATGTTGCAAGTGGTAATTCTGAATGCTGGATTCAAGTTGCTGTCGTGTATTATCCACACTGGAATCGACCGGGAGCGGGTTCCCCTTGACATCTACAAGAGTAGTATACATGAGATGTATATCATTCGTCGGGGCTGGAATCGGGTAGAGTAAACGGTTCCATATGATTTCTGATGCAATTTGAAGACATTGAGGCGCTGTCAGAGGGGTGCTACGGGCTTCCAATGCGGACTTTTGAGGCGGATTAGCCGTTGGATGGTCTTGAGTCAAGATGAGGTCGATCGAGTTGAGGACTTGTGAAAATACAGGTGGATTTCCATTCGGATCGAGGGTAATGAAGGGCGAGTTCGATGAAAGACCCATTACAGCCACGGGCAGCGAGAAATACGCACTGATCGGTAAGCCTGAATACGTTGATTGGTCCGTCACGAGATTTTGAGCAACCGTTGGTATATTGTACTCAATAGTACTATCAGGAATACTCAAGTCATTCCGTTTGAACTCAAACCGCACGTCGAACGATGGGCCTCCTGGGTGCGGGGTGAGCGGTTTAACAATGATTACCGCAGTCGCGACCGAGGACTCCAGAGGAGCCGTTATTGTCTTGACTTGATTTGTGTCAGGAAGGGTGATTTGCTCTGGTAATTGTGCCACATCTTGAATGATGGACTTGTCAAGAGCTTGTATTGACTGGTCGAGGGTAGTGTCCGTTTCGTTGATAATCGACACTGGAGTCTGAGAGTCTGTTACACCGCTTGCAACTCCAAGCTTCATCCCCTTCGTGGGGTCTTGGACTGTCAAGCCATATGCGGTGATTTGAAGGCCTTCTAGCGCTTGTTTGAACACAGCAGGGAGTGTCGGCTTGCTAGGAACTAGCTTCAGAATGATGAGAGTAGGCATGGTGCCTGGCACTCTGAAACAACTCTCGAGATTGATCTCGTGTTTGCAGAGAATAGATATCGAGGTGTGATATTTGTGCTGCGATCTGGAGCTCTGGAGGTTTGGACTGTTTGGTGGTGGATGAGGAGACAGCTCTGATAGCTTGCCCTGTGAAACTGTGGACCCGGACACAGGGTCGCCATTGGCTTGGACTCATGCGGGCCACAGATCATATGTTGGGACACAAGTGCAAGCTGCAAGCTGGTGGTGTCGTATGTGGGCTGGAAGGCGGGCTGAAGGGAGGAGGCGTCGTTGCATGCAAGCTGAATGAGTCGTGAGCCGTGAAGGCTTGCTGATCAATCATGTTCACCGCAGGAGAGGCACCTCTTCTGGGCCGGTAACCACGCCACAAAGTGGGGAATAGACGTTTACAGGGACATTAAACAAAACAGAAGATAAGAAATTGTTCCAAATGTGGGGTTAAATGGAGTATTTTCAAATAGAGTACGCCGTTGAAGTGATTTGGAACATTGTTGAATCGGATCTTGGGTGCCGCGGCTTTCCGTTTCAAGATGATGGTGATAGGCTGGCTCTGCATGATTAGTCAGCAGGAAAACTACCACCTGTACCAGCCCGTACCAACACTTCAAGGAACGATTTTCACGCCCTGGTTACGTCGTTGCCAAGACTGAGTATAGTCATGTCTCTCTATCTTTTAACTGAACTTATAGTACTTGTATTGCACTAGGTTTATAGTGAATTTAATATTAATACTAGTTATATATATAAACAGTTTTTATTAAATTAAATTTAATTGAATTATTATTAAATAAAATTAAATAAAATTCGATTCGATTTATATCGAATTTTTTATTAGAGCTTAATCGAATATTTAATAATTTAATTAAACTTTTTATATAAAAATTAAATATATATATATAAATATACTTTTAATAATATTTATATTATATTTTAATTTTTTGAATTTATTTAAATATTAGAAGTATTAAATATATACTTTCTTTATTTTATTTACTTTATTATATTTATTTATTAGAATTAAACTTAACTAGCTTCTTTTATATATATATATATATAATTCTTTTAATAAAATTAAAGCTTTTAAAATATAATTAAATTAAATTAAATTATTTATTTTTTTATTTTATAATAAAATTCGAATTAGCTTTTATTTCTTTAAACTTTAAATTATAAATACTATTATAAATATAAGATTTAGAATCTAAAAGATATAATTTAGATTATTTCTATTTTAATAATTTAAAGCTAAAAAAGAGAAGAAAATCTTAAAAAGCCTCGAATTTAAATAATTATAAGCTATATATAGGCCTATATATTTACTAAATAAAGTTATAATATATAACCTCAATTTTATTTCCCGATTTTATTTTTATATATTTTATTAGTTCTAGTTTAATTTCTATTTCTATTATATATTATAATAATTATAATATTATTTTATTTCTAATCTTTAAAAATCTTTACTAAATTCTTAAATTATAAGTTATATATTAAAAACTAGAAGCCTTATATATATAACTAAAAGAATTTCTATTTATATTATATAATTCTAGTTATATATAATTCTTAATATAATTTAATTAATAAAATAGATTCTAGAATAGTTCTAATTATTAGAAATTCTTATTATAATTTTTTTAAAAAACTAGAAAACTATTATTTAATAAAAATATTAGATATTATTCTAGATTTAAATTTTTTTTTTATTAAACTTGGTATTTAAGTTATAAAATAGCTTTATTATTAGTATTTCGTGAATTTTATTTTTTATTTTTTATTTTTATAATTCTAATAATAAAGGCTTTGAATTTATTTATTTAAAAAAAGAATTATTTAGAGTTTTATATAATTTCTTTATATAAAATACTAGATATATTTTTATTAATTTCAAAAGCTTAAATCTAAAGAAATATTTTATTTATTTCAGGATTTTATATAATCTTTTTATTTAATAAACTAATTTATAGCTCGAATAATTATTTTTCTAATATTTAATAATAATTTATATCTTGTTTTTTTTACTTTAAAGCTTATTAATTAATAGTATTTATTAGCTTAAATAATATAATATTCTTATATTTATATTATATTTTTTCTATATTTTTTATTATAATTTATTATTAGTTTACTAGTAATATATAATATTATTATATAGATATAAAAATACTAGTTATATTAGTTAGTAAAGTTATTATTATTTAGAAATAGGAATTATAGTATTATAGTATTAATATATAATCCCTAAATCTATTAAGCCTAAAGAAGTCTAGTTTATTAGTTAAGTTACTTATAGGATGCGAGGTTATATAACTATATCCTATATCTTATATTCTATTACTTATATCCCGTATTCCGTATCCCGTAACTATATATATAACTCCTAAAGAAATAGCTATACTAATATTTATTAAGCTATATTAATAGAGTTTTTATTTTTTATTTATTTAAATTCTTTTTTAAAATATTTAATTATATTTGAGTTTTCTAATTAATTATTATTATTTATTTATTTTAATTCTTTTAATAATAATTTATATAATTATATAATTATTAATTAAAATATTAATTAATAAATATTATTAGAAATAATTAAAAACTAGTAATAAATATAAAAAAACTAGTTTTTAATTTCTAGAAATATAGAATTATTAATAAATATAATATTTATATTTTAATTTAGCTAGAAATAATAAGCCTAAAAAAGCTATTAAAGTTTAGTTTATTTTAGGTATTTTATTAAAGGCTATATATAAGGCTTTTAAATTAAAATAATATATAAAAGTATTTTAAATATTATTATATTATAAAAAAAGCTATTTTATAATATTTAAATATCTTTTTCTTATTTTTATTTTTATTTTATAGCTTTTCTAATTCTAATAACTCTCGATTTTTATTTAATAACTTATTTATAAACTAGATATTATTATATTATATTTCTTTTAAATTAGATTTATTAAAACTTTAATTAAAACTAATTAGAGATTTTATATAATATTATTATTAATCTCTTATTATAAAAACAGAATTTTAGTTTAATAAGCTATTATTATTTTATTTTAGATAATTATATTCTTATATTTCTTATTTAAGGTATTTATTTATTTATTTAATTTATTTATCTAATATATAAATTTAAAATAATAATAAAAAAATACTTTATTTAATGAACTTATTTTACTAAAAGCTTTTTTATAATTATAAAATATTCGAGAATTTAATAGTTTAAATAAATTATAAAAAATATCTTTTATAAGTCTTTTAATTTTATTTATTATTTAATTAAAAAGAAAATAATAATAAATAATTTTTTATTATAAATATTATAATTTAGTTCTATTAATTATATAATTGTAAAAAAGAATCTTATTATAAAAGAATATTAATTATAACTTTATTTAATATATTTATTTTAATTATAATAAAGAAATTCGGGTTATAATAATATAAAATTAATATTAATTTATTTATTTAGATAAAACTCTTTTATATATTAGAACTATTAAAAGCTTTATTATATAATTATATTTTATAATAAAATACTAATAAAAATTATAAAAGCCTAAAAATATTATAATTTCTAAATATCTAATATCTAAAATATCTAACTAGATATTAAATGCCTTCTAGATATATATAATATAGCTGTTTTATTAGAGAAATATATTTGAAATATACTAGAAATATTTAGAAAACTAAGTTTCTTTAAAATTAATATATTATAAAATATATATATTTCTTTATAGTTTTTTATATTCTAGTTTTCTTTTTCTTAGCTTTAAATTGTTTTTATAAGAGATCTTTTACTTTATTTTTTAAGCCCTAAATACTATATTTATAATAGTATTTAAAGCTTATTTTTTTTTAATTTTATAAAGAATTTTAAATAAACTAATTTATAATTATTAGAAATATAAATATTATTAAAATAATAGAATCTTAGAAATATAAGTAATAGTTTTAAGAATAATAAAAATAAAAAGCTTTAAAACTTTTAAAGAAATTAAGTATTTATATTTTTATAAATATATATTAATTATTATAATTCTTAGATATCTAATATCTGAAATGCCTTACTAAATACTAGATATCTCCTAGATATATATAATACGACTGCCTTATTAGGGAAATATATTTGAAATATACTAGAAATATTTAGAAAACTAAATTCTTTTAAAACTAGTATATTATAAGATATATATATTTCTTTATAGCTTTCTATATTCTAGTTTTCTCTTTTTTAGCTTTAAATTATTTTTATAAGAAACTTTCTATCTTATTTTCTAAACCCTAAATACTATATTTATAATAGTATTTAAAACTTATTTCTTTTAATTCTATAAAGAATTTTAAATAAACTAATTTAGAAATATAAATATTATTAAAATAATAGAACCTTAGAAATATAAGTAATAAACTCTAGAATAATAAAAGCAAAAAGCTTTAAAACCCTTAAAGAAATTAGATATTTATATTTTTATAAATATATATTAGTAATATATTAGAAATTCTTTTTTAAAAACCCGAAAATTAAATTTATTTAAATAAAGGCTACTTTTTAAGTAAATTCTAGAATAATAAATACCTATAGGCTAGTAACCTAACTATTATTCTTAAGCCTTATCTTATAATCTTATAGGCCTTATATATATACTAATAATAAAACTATTAAAAAGAATATAATAAAAGAAAAATATAATAAATTAATTTCCTAAAATATTATATAACTAGAAACTATATTAATTTCTACTAAGGCTTCTAATAAAGCTCTTACTAGTTTAGATTATTCCGTTAGTAATTCTTCCCGAATTAAATATTTTATTAGTATTTCTAGAAAATTTATAAATAAGTTTATAAAAATAGAATTCTTTATTTTTATTATAAAGCTTTTAAACTCTAAAGACTATATTATTACTAGAAAGTTATATAAATAGGCTAAAAAACCTAATACCTTACTTTTAGATATTAATATTATTATAAAAAACTATTAGGAAAATATTTAAAAAGCTATTTTATATAAAAATACCTATAATTATAATAAAGATATTTTTAAAAATATTAAGTTTTATAATACTAAACTCGAGAATAATATTAAATATTATATAGCTATAATAAATCGGCTTATAGTAGCTCTAGTTACTTTTATTTTATTTATTCTAGTTATTTCGGATTTTTTTTAAAAGAATTCCGAACTATTTCTTATTTATTTTTATTTAGAATTCTTTATATCTTATATTTCTTTTAAAAATACTAGAGTTATTAAGCTCCTAAATTTAATTCTCTTTACTAGAAATTATACTATTTTTAATAACTAGCTAATTTAGATTAAAAATAAACTATAAAGAAATACTAATTTATATTTTTTAAAAAATCTTAAAATTATTTATATTTCTAGTAAATTTATTAGTAATATTTTTATTCTAACTAATTATTATATAAATAAAGATAGTCCGAAT